GGGACCGTCCTGCCGCCGCCGCGCCGCTCAGCTCCTGGTCCGCGCGCCGAGCGCTTTATTCGGCCCTCGCCACCCCGTGTGAAGCGGCCTGCGGCGCGTCGTGTGCAAAAGCCCCCGGGGAAGGGGGATGGGGTGGCCGGCTGCAAAGGATGCCCAGGAGCTGCCCCGAGCACCCATCCCCGCGTCCCTGGGGCCCGGGGAGCCCACCTGGCTTGCGACAGAAGCCTAACCGCCTCTACAGAGTTAGGACTGGGCGACGGCTGAGCGCGCTCTCCCCGCGGGGGGCCGGCAGCGTCCCGCGGAGAAATTCTAGGATCTCAGTTGCTGGAATTCGCTCTGGATCTCGGGAGAGCGGGAATGTGGCTCCCGAGGCCAGGGCTGTGTCTCACCTGGGGCTGGAGACTCGGGAACGCTCGTTTGAAATAGGTTTCCGCCTCCGGCTGCAGCCGCCTGCGGTCGGCCGGCCGCGTCCCGCTCAGGCTGGCGGAGGGGCCCTGGAGGGGGGTCTGCGCCCCCGCAGCTTGGGCAGTGGCCCTCTTTAGGACTGGTTGGGGCCCCCGACCCATCCCAGCCAGTGAGGCAGCTCGGGTGCCTCGCCTGCGCGCTCGGGTTAGAATCTGGAGCGCCCGGCTTGTCTCCATCCCCTGCCTAGGGCAGTGCCGCGCTTTGGCATCAACCTCCATGTGGGCAGAGCTGACACCACCACCACCACCGTCCCCTCTCCGCCGCCCTCCAGCAGCTCACAGGAGCCCCAGGAAGGGGCCGTGCATGGGGTTCCGCCTCCTGCTTTCTGGCCTCAGATTCCTTCAGTCTTCTATGGACTTTACTTTTTTATTTTTAAAATATATATTTTTTTATTTTTGGGGGGAGGGGGAGAGAAACATGGACGTGAAGAGTGTATCAGCTGCCTCCTGCACGCCCCCTAGGGGTTGAGGGGAACCCAGCGGGGTGGGGGGTGGGGGGAACTGGGCATGCACCCTGACCCAGACAGGGAATCAAACCAGCAACCTTGTGGTGCATGAGCCGACTCCCAACCAACTGAGTCCCACTGACCAGGGCTATGGGAGGATACTTTAGAAAGTAAAACTATAAAAAACCTTAAATGTGTGATTATCAAAAAAGACAGGATAGTGGCTACCTCTAAGTGAAAGAAGTTACACTGGGGAGGGAGTACATGGAGCGCCTCCGGGGGCTGGCAGTGTTTTTTTCTTGACCTGCATGGTAGCAACACAGGATTTCATTTTACAGTAGACTATTAAACTCCATAACTAGCTTTGTACAGTTGTGTGTCTGTAATATATTACACGATTTTTAAAGAAATTTTTAAAAAATGCTTCAGAATTGAGAAAGCACTAGAAATGAAAGCAAAAATCTGATTCCCTGAAATTCAAAGTTAGGGACGGAGTTAGCCTTGGAGAAACTCCCAGAAGTGAAAGTGGGCCAAGGTGTGAGGGTTTAAAGCACTTTCATAAAGTGAGTTCCATAGAACATTAGTTCTGGAGGATGTCACATAAATGAATAAATTGGGAAATGCTGGGTTAAATATTCAATCCACCAAAAAACATTAAGGGCCTTAAACATCAGGCAGTATTCCAAACACCATAAACTTGATAGGCCAGTCATTGTCTAAAGCCAAATAGCTTTCATATATATGGGCTCAAGTAGCTTTCTTTATGGCAGGACTACTGAGAGCCCTTAGCTTGCTGTGTTCTGAATGTCAAAAAGGTGGGACGGACTCTGCAGTGTTCCTCAAATTTATAAGTCCAAGGCGTCTCAGACCCAATGAATGAACCATCTCCGATTCACTCAGCTTCATCTCTCTCCCACCCCTTGGCCCCTTGTTCGTGGAAAGCCTTGGTGCTATTTTGGCCTTGGTCATCGCCCCATCCCCTAGAACTGGTGGCTGTCTTCACCTTCCCTGGAGTAAATTTGGGTGCCAGCAGAGAATCCACTGTGCATCCTGCACCGATGCCCAACCCACTGGACCACAGAGGCTCTACTCCTCCCACTACCCACACAGTCAGCGGATGGTGTGCCATCTACCTTAGCATCCCCAGCAGCTGCCCAAGGGGGCCAAGTGATGCAACCTGGACGTGTAAGGGGAGTAACACTCCGAGAGACAAACTTCGGTTCTGAGACAGATGAAATAAGCCAACAGGTAAAAATCTCTCCTTCCCCCCGATGAACTGCTTTGAATCAGTTGTGTTCTTTATGACCTGCTAGAAACATCTCATGTGTCTGAGCAAACAGCCGGGTCTCTGTGATACTTTCTGTTTGCTTTTCTCCTACCCTGCCTTGCTCCCACTTTCCCTCACCTTCGCTGCCCTGGGCTTGTATCTAGACTAAAACATTTAAGCTTTGCCTCAGCTTCTGCTTTCCAGAGAACCAGAGAATGGGGCATTAAACCTGTTTCTTGAGGATCATCGCAGGGCCAGCTTTCCAGGGAGCTCTCACTGGGAAATGCTGATGTAAAGAGCTCTTCTTTGGTGGACAGAAGCCCAGCCTTGTCATTATGTATCCCTCCTGCCACACACTTACTATTAGGCCTCTGTCCATCTGAAGTTTTTAGGGAAAAAAAGGCTGAATGAACCCAACTCCTTTAGTAATAACAGGAAGAGAGCTCTGTGCATTTATTAAAACAACATGTAACAAACTCAGTCACCATCCCCTCTGTCGGGGATAGGCACTGAAATACAGAATATTATCCCTTCCAGGTTTGCGAGCGCTACCAGCCCTCCCAGCCAGGAAGGGACAGGGGCAGCTGTAACAACCTGGCTTCCTTCCCTTCTATCTAACAGTCGCCAGTCACACAATGACCGGGCATTATCATACAAAAGTTCCTTTACAAAAAGCACCAAATTGGCATACATATACAAGTTTATACAAAAATCACATTTTAAAAATGTACAAAACATTCCATTTTGCACCAATGTAGAAAAGTGTCCTGTGTGGTTGTTTCAAGCACATTTCCAGCTCTGCTTCAGTGACTGCTGGACACAGCGGTGGGGGTCCTACTCCTAGTCCCTGCTCTTGAGCAGAGAGAAGACACACCTCCCCATTGCCCCCTCAGGGGCCCCGACCCCTCCCACCCTGGGCCTGTCACCAAGGCAGCTGGGCCCATCCCCACCCTCCCCAGTCTCTCTGCATCTAGAGGGTCTCTTCCTCCTCCAGCTCCTTACTGGTGTCCTGAAAGAAAAATACAAAGAAACTCAAAGTGAGACAGGGACTCACTTTGGTAAGCTTACCAAATGATCAAGCTCCAATTCCTGCCTGGCCTCTTTCTTTTTAAACCAAAATAGAATTTAGTTGCCAAAACAAAATTGGATTGTACATCCAACGCAAAACTCCAGCCCTGGCCAGTGTGGTTCAGTGGTTAGAGCAGCAACCCATGTACCGAAGGGTCCAGGGTTTGACTCCTGGTTAAGGGCACATACCTGGGTTGCCTCTCTCTCTCTCTCTCTCTCCTCCTCCCTCTGAATAGCAATGGAAAAATGTCCTCAGGTGAGGATTAGCAAAACAAAACAAGACAAAAACTCCAAAAGACTACTCTGTATGTTTCAAAGGGATTGGAATTTAGTTCCAATAATAACTTGGCTTTTAACACAATAACACTAGCAAACATATGCTAATTAGCAAACACGTCCTTCCTACATGCCAGACACCGTGTCAAAGATTCTCTGATGTACTCCCCATTATAATATTTTGAGGTCAGTACTATCATTCTCCATGCATAGGTGAGTAACCCAAGACTCAGAAAAGTTATGAACTGCTCTAGATCACACCGCCAGTCTGGGATAAAGCCGCGCTTCAGAACTCTTAACTCTAGTCTGGCAGGTTGGCAAACTGAGGCCTACTGGGGCCAGCAGATGACTTGAAGAAGAAGAGCGGGAAGGCTGACGGTGGGGGTCCGGGCAAGCTGGCAGGTGCATGTCCCGCACAAAGGGAGCAGCCACTGCCCAGTGCCAACTCTCTGGGACAAGAGAGAAGGGCAAGCCCAAGACTGTTAGCTCTTTCCAAATTTTTACAAGAAGGTGGAAATCCAGATTCTCAGTTGAAATCTCCTTTTTAAGAATCCTTTAATCCCTGGCTGGCTCGGCTCAGTTGCTTGGAGCCTCATCTCGTACACCTTTCGGTGGCCGGTTAGATTTCTGGGCAGGGCACGTACCCAGGTTGCAGGTTTGATCCCTGGTTGGGGTGTGTGCTGGAGGCAACCAGTCGATGCTTCTTTCTCACATCCATGTTTCTCTCTCTCTCCCTCAAATAAATAAAATAAAAAATCCTTTTAGAAACCTCCTAATTTTTAAAATGTTGGCAACTGACTTAAAAAAAATTAAACATTGTGCTGGCCAAACAAAACACCTCAGTGGACCCAGCCTGGCTCATGAGTGCTCTTTCACGCCTGTTACGCTGCATTGCTTTCCATATAGATATTGGTCATTTAGATACAAAAATAGGAGCTTTTTATTATGAATAGTTTGGGGGGGTTTCCTCTCAGGGTAAAGGGAGCAGGACCTGATCCTTAAAACATTTACACATATTGGGAACATCATCATATATTGGCATCATCCCCAATGTCCAGCACAGCACTTTGCACACAGTCAGCATCTCCTGTTGTTGAATGAATGAATGAATGAATGAATGAATGAATGAATGAATGAAAGCAGATGGATTTCTTACCTTCTTCCTTCCCCTCTGTGGACTCTTCCTCTTCCTGATCATCTTCTTCAGTGAACTCTTCCTCTTCCTCATCTGTGTGTTACAAAGAACAATAGCGTTCGGACAGGCTGGTTTTTCAGAGGAGCTGCTCAGAGCGGTGCCAGGCTGGCGACAACGCTGATCCCAGTCCCCTCCAGGGCCCAGCCGGGGTGAGCCAGCCTTGCAGTGGCATCAGTGGCCCAGAAGGCGACGGGCTTGCCAAACCCACGCTGCACGGAGGAGGCTTCCTCCCTTCTCTCCCCTCCCCTTCCATCCTGCACCCTCCAAGGGAGGGAGGTTGAAGAGGCTCCTTTGTTCCAGTGGCCGCAGCGGCTTCTATGACCTGACCTGCCTGTGACCGAAGGGGACTTTGGTAGGCTCACTGTACTGCGGCATTCCTCTCAGTTAGACAGATAAACATCGCCTGTGGAGGTGGGACAAGAGCGCCTTGATTCTCAGCGATCAGAGTCCCGGTCCTGAAGGGATTTGCCCAGCCTTTGAAATCTGCTTGCCTAGCACTCCCCGTGCACTCCCCTCGTTCCTTAGCCTACCGAGGGGTGGGTGGGGGTGAGGAACACTTCTGGGCCACCTGCTCCTTGGTTCTCTGAAGCTGAGCCCCCAGGCTGACTGAGCTGCAGCCTCTGTCCCCACTCTCCCTTCCTGGGGTGTCACCTTCAAGCTCTGCTAACAGGGATGTGCCTGTTGTCCACCTCATCTCCAAAGCTGCTTCCTTAATCCTTTGGGGCCCTGAGGGGGTCACCACAGAGTCAGAGCATTTGTCCAGAGCATCTGCGAAGAGGCTCGAAAGAGTGAATGCCTACAAAACGACAGCCAAAATTCCAGCCACCTACCTGGGATCTAGACACGACCCAGGGACTTTGGCTGCTGTTCTTTAATCATCACATTCACTGCTAGCGGCAGCATTTGCTGCAGACTTACTACGTGCCAAGTGTTGTGCTAAGCGCCGGACATGCAGTCTCATGTAATCCTCAAGAGGGCCTTGTGAGCCAGGTGGCCCTTGGTGCCATCCACGTGGGCTACTTACTAGCTGTGTGGCCTCCAGGAGACCTCTCACCCTCCCATGGCTTTATTTCCTCAACTACGAAATGGAGCTGACAACAGAAACTACCTCATGAAGTTGTTGTATTAAGTGATAGAATTTATGTGAAGGGCTTAGTGCCTGGGACATAGAAAGTGCTCAATAAATGGTATCTGTTGGTGTGGTTCTCTCCCCATTTTACTCTGAGGAAACTGAGGCTCAGGGAGGTAATGGAAGGCAGTGCCGGTCTTCACAACGCCATGCTGTTCACTCAGCGTGACCCACTCTGGAATATCTTAGCTTCGGGAGGCTAACAGCGGAACAGGTGATCTACAGCGATGGCCAGACCCACGTCTGCCAGCATCTCAGCTCTGGGATGCATTTTTGTCCTCACTGACAACTGGGGTGCACCCGGTGCTGAGAACAGATGTAACACCAGATTCTGCAAGCTGGCAGGAGAGCCGAGCTTTCTCATGCCAGCCCGTGCACAGTTCTTGCCCATTCCTGCACTCCTCTCTCTGTCCTGGTCACTGAAGCACCGCCTATCAGAACAACGCAACATTCAGCAGAATTGGATTCACTCTCTGTTGCTAAATAGCTACCTTTCAACTGTGACCTTGAGCAAATTATTAACATCAGGTTTCCTCATTTCCCCTTATTATTTTCCCCTTTTTACTGTTCTAGTTACATTGTTGCAATTATTATATGTCCTTTATGGAAGAGTAATTAATTCTAAACAGAAATGAGGACATGGTATAGCTCAATTAGGGTACCTGAGCATCATAGATGATAGCATGAAAACGCTGAAGCTAAGACTAGCTTTAGGCACTAACTAGTACATGTCTAGTACTCTACAAACTCTTCTGTATCAATGTCTTAGTTGTTGCAACAGCACCATGATATAGTCAGGCCCACTTTTAACCTAATTTTTAAGGTTAGAGAAATTAAGCTCAGAGAGGTAGAAGGTTCTCCAGAGGTCACACAGATAACAAATGGCAGCTCCAGATTCAAACTTAGGTCTGCCTGCCTCCAGCCGCCATGCTCCTCCTACAACCCCAAGACACCCCAAAAGTGATAATTTATTGAGCAACGATTATGCACCAAGCACTGTGCTCAGCTCCAGGCTCATCCAGAAGTTGGTTGCTATGTGGGCGTCTTCGCTAGTGTATCTGCCTCCACATGGGGTCGGTGGGAGGGAAGCTGATTTCCAAGGGTCAAGCAGGGAAATAGACAAGTGGCACCATCACTTCCTTTACCTGTCCCAAAATCGATGGCCCTCAGGGTATCTGCTATGTGCTCCAAATCCAAAGTAAAGTAGTCCATGTTTTCAAAGCCCTGCTCTGTCTTCCTCAGCTGGCAACCCTTGGAAACTTCCACAATGCTGTGGGAGAGAGAGAGAGAGAGAGGTGAGATCTCTAGGGCTTAGTGCAGGGAGGGGGTGTTTTAGCTCCAGTTCACACCAGTGCACATGCTGTGTCCACACCCAGGCCTTGCACCTAGAGGCTCCCCCCTGGAGGGGTGGAATATNAGGCTTAGTGCAGGGAGGGGGTGTTTTAGCTCCAGTTCATACCAGTGCACATGCTGTGCCCACACCCAGGCCTTGCACCTAGAGGCTCCCCCCTGGAGGGGTGGAATATTTCCTCTCCAGTCTCAAGCACATACCGGTCCAAGAAAGCAGGGGATCACGCAAAGGCCAGGAAAGCCAGCCTGGGATGAAACCCTCCCAGCAGCCCACTGGACAGAAGTCAGAGGCCCTGATGGGAGCTAGGGCCTTGGATCACAGTCCTAGGGAGACACTGACCTTTTAATGAGTTTCTTGGCACTCTGTGTGGGGAGAGAGAGCAAAGGATTAGGATTACATTAGGGGTAGCCCCAGGAAATCAGCAAAGCCAGTGACTGGGTGCTGCAGGTGGGCACTTGGTGCCATTCCCTAGCCCAGCCTTGATCTGCTCTCCACCCTGCACTGAGTAGAACTTGGATCTTTTCCTTCTGTTGATGATCTGCACAAGTCGTGGTGATCACTTTTAGGCCCCTCCCATTGTCCTGGCAGGAAGCTTGGATTTTAGGGATATCAGTCTAAACACCTTAAGCCCTGAACTCTCCAAGATGAGAATCTTATCCTACTCACTTTTTTATATCCAATGTCTAGCACAAAGCCTGGCCTACAGTAGGTGTTTAGGAAATTTTTATGGAACTAAACTGTGGAATCTTATAGCTGATCCTTTTCTGACTCCCCAGTGAGCTCTTCTAGAGCAGCACTGCTCTCTTACATCTCTGTGTCTCCACCTCAGTGGCTGACCTGCAATAGGTGCTCAATTAATAGGTTTAAGTAGGGATTGTTTCATGCCCATTTTACAGATGAGGAAACTGAGCCTAGGGGAGGTTTGAATGACTTGGCCAGGGGCATATGGGTGGTCAGTGAAGGAGCATAACTTGAATTTTAGAGCTGTAGAGTTAAAGTGACTCTGCCCACACCCTCCTAGTCCTGCTCACCAAGAGGAAGATGGCTCCACCAGGCTCATCCAGGGACTGGATGGCTGTCTCCACCAGCTTAGTGGACTTGTCCAGTTGCTCCCGGTACTGCTGGATGAGGGCCTCAATGAAGCTGAGCTTCTCCTCCTGCTCCTGCGTGACCCGCTGTAGCAACTCACTCTTCTTCTCATCCAGGATGGCGTATAGCACGTCAAACTTCTGGCTCAGCTCTTCCTTCACCTGGTGACTGTTCTCCTGGGGACAGGAATCCTGGAGTCACATCCTGCGGGGTCCTCCCTCTCCCTAACACCTCCTTCCTGGGATGGGCGTGCTAGGAACAAAGACTGGAAAGCTGGAAGAGATCTTACTACACCCTCATTTTACACCAGATGAAATGAAGGCTTAGCCAGAAGAAAGTTCTTGCCATAGTTTCATAGCTACCCAGTACAGGTTTAGGAGTCTGGGGTCATGGAGAAAGCAACCCCCTTCCTCAAAAATAGAGACTCTAGGGTCAAATGAAATGATATATATTCTAGCCCTCTTGTGTGTCCCCAAGTCACACTTGTCCCCCCATTTTAGGACCAAGACTGGATTCAAGAAGCTCTACATCATTTAGTCCTGGAAGANTCCCCCCATTTTAGGACCAAGACTGGATTCAAGAAGCTCTGCATCATTTAGTCCTGGAAGATGTGGAGAAGCAGCTCCTCTCCTAGTGACCTCCTCATTGAGGCTCCCTTCTCATCAACACAGATGCTATATCTTAGTTTCTTATCTGTAAAATGGGTATCATAATGGCATCTCATCAGACTGGGGCTCTAGCATCATCTGTCAGTCTGCGAGCCCATCACAGGCGCTAACAATGTCCCTCTTCTTCCTTTGAACCTACCAATCATACGCTCTTTGTCCACCAGCCATACGGTGATCCCTTCCCCCATTTCACCTCAGGGCCCCATCCCAAGTGAGGAGAGAAAATCATGAATGCTTTCGCAGAAATGAGTTTCCTTCTGCCCCTACAGTCTGGCTACTCAAAATGTGGTCCACGGACCAGCAACTTGGGCAAACCCTGAGTGCTTGTTAGAACTGCAGAGTCCCGTGCCTCATTCCAGACCCACTGGATCAGAACTTGAATTTTAATAAGACCCCAGGGTGATTTGTAGGCACTCTGAGGTTTGAAGTCTTGGTCTACAGCACACCGGAGAATGATGGTCTAAAAACATCAGTGTTAAAAAAAAAGAATACTGGGTATTATTGGTGGGACGGGGGTCTGTGTTGTTTGCCACCCCATCCCCAGAGCTTTGGCAGTGCCTGACACACAGCCGTGCTCAAGAAGCATTTGTTGAATGAGTGGATTAATGGATTAGTCAGTCCCTCCTCACTCTCTCTGCTTGAACACCCCAGACTCCAGGCCTCAACCTTCAGTTACAAGGGTGAGCCTTCACCCCACAGACCAGGCTACACTGGAGGCTTCAAATCCCCAGGCAGAGCTACTCTGTCCCCTCACCTTGGTCATTCGACTAGAGTCCTCCAGCTGAGCGATGATGGTCTGCACACGGTCGTTCCCCGCCACCAGCATGGAGATACAGTTACTCAGTTCAGTCTAGATGGGAGGAGGGGATGGGGGATCAGGAGAGGAGAGACAGAAATAGTCTCAGGGCCTGCCCTCCTGGGAGTTGGCAGCAAAGTGGCACCCTTACTCCCCTCTCTGCTAGAAAGAGCCTCCGGCAGCTGTCTGGCCCCTCTTTCTGAGGTACAGCTGAGGTCCAGAGCAGAGAATATCAGAGAGATACTGTTTCCTTTATTCTACAGAGGAAGCACAGAGAGGAGAAGCGAGCTGCCCAAAACACACAGCAAGGTGCTGGTAGAGGAGGAGCTTGTTTCTAAGAAAGAAGGGCTGAAGAAAAGAAATATAGTGGGAGTTCTACAAGACAGAGGTCAAGCCCTGGCCAGGCAGTTCAGTTGGTTAGAGTGTCATCCGGATATGCCAAGGTTGCAGGTTTGATCCCTCATCAGGGCACATACAAGAATCAACCAATGAATTCAGAAATAAGTGGATAAGTGAACACAGATTTCTCTCTCTCTCTCTCTCTCTCTCTCTCTCTTTCTCTCTCCCCCTTCCTCTCTCTATCTCAAATCAATAGAGAGCATGGTCGGGCGTCGCTCAGTGGTTGAGCATCAACCTAGGATCCAGGAGATCGGGGTTTGATTCCCAGTCAGGGCACATGCCTGGCTGCAGGCTTGACCAATGACCCTCTCATCATTGATGTTTCTGTTTCTCTCTCTCCCTCTCCTTTCCTCTCTCTGAAATCAATAAAGATATATTTTTTTAAAAAATCAATAGAGAGAGTGAGAAAGAAAAAGTGGGAGGTAGGAAAGAAAGAGTATGGAAAGAGGGGCCACAGCTTACTGCACAGACAGGACAGTGGGTCTCCCACAGGCCCAGGGACTCAGGGAGAGGGCTCTCAGCTGCCTACTGCTGCAGGGGAATTTGAAGACTGAGAGAGGTGACTGGGGCCCAAAGCACACTGGGATGTAGAAGTCATGGCCTGAGAGATTCCCTGGTGGCCTGGCCCTGGGGCCTGGTCTCTCCCCTGTGGCCACACCCAGGTGCTCTCAAGTGACTCTAAGTATAACCCATGAGCTCAGCCACCTCCCCCAGGAAGGCAAGGCCTGCTGTCCCTATAGCCTGTTAAGTCCCTCCAGAGAGACCATTACTGAAAGGCCGGCTCAGCAGATCTGCAAGGATGAAATCTGCATCCTGAATCACTAGGCCATGCTCAACAGGCCCAGGCTGGGGGTGGAAGTGGCTCAGGTCAATACCTTTTGTCCCTGGAAGACACTCTGTAGCGGGGCCACCTCGCAGGCCTTGTGGGCCCCAAACACCTTGCACATGGAGCACGTGGGCGTCTCACACGTGAGGCAGTAGATGTTGATCTTCTCGTCTTCATGCTCCTTGCACATGGGGTGGCTGCCATTCTGCAGGGGCCTACTGAAGTGGAAAAGAGTCACAAGTGACACGGTGGGGGTCCGGCGTCCTTGTCTCCTCCCCAAGCTCCAATCATAGCTCTAACTCAGATCTATGACCCAAGTTCTCAGTGGTTGGACATCCTTAATACTTTTCTTTTATCCTCTGGGAAACCAAGACCAGGGAAGCCAATGACACCAAGGCTGTCTCCACACACTAGGACTCAAACTCCGGTGATGGAGCTGGCCTAGACATGGGAAGGGTGGTAGAACCCCAGAGTCAGAGCTGGAGACGTTTTCAAGAAAAGAAAACTGGACCCTGGAAAGGTGAATTGACTTGCCCAAGGTCACCCAGCAAGTCAGGGCAGGGAAGGCTAAAGTTCATTTGCTCTAATTATAGTCACCATAGCTCTCGGTTTCTGCAGGCTGGGCTCTCAGTGAAGCAATTTATATTCATGGCCTCATTGGATACTATATTTAATCCACCAGACTGTAACCTCCACCAAAGCAGGGAAACTTGCCTGTTCTCTCACTCCTGAATCTGCAGTGTACAGTGCCTTGCGTAGAGAAGGTGGTAAGTAAGCATCGCCGGGAGGGTGATGCCTGAGGCTCAGAGAAGGAAGCAGGGTGTGTGTCCCGAGTCCCACAGCCAGTACATGGGCAGCTCAGGGCTGTCCAGCAGCCCAGCACAAGCCTGGCTTCTAGTCCAGAGGTTGTTTCCAGGGTCCAGTCTCTTCCTTCTCTTTCTTTCCAAACACTCATTCTAAGAATGTCTTTCTCCCTTCGTGTCTCTCTCTCCACTCAGGGTCTCTGTCATGTTATTTGTGCCTCTCTCAGGAAATCAGTCACCTCCTACCCTAGATTCATTTTAGGGGGTTCTAGGTCTTACCTCCCCAGCTAGACTATGCACTCATTTAGAGTCAACACCATGTCTATACTGCCTCTGATTTCCCAGCCCCTAACAGAGTTGTCTGTAGTGAATGTGTAGTGCCTGGCACAGGGCAGACCCTCACTAAGCGCAGCTATTATTGTCATCCAGCTGTGCAGAAAGGCCTCAAAGGGTTCAAACACAACATGGTCTTCATAGGCCCACGTTGGGTTGGCTAATATTTTGGTGCAATGTTGATTTTATTATGATTATAATGACCAAAAACATATTGGCATTTTTGTAGTGTTGAGTCCTAGCAACGTGAGAGACAATAGCAGTCAGAAGTGTTCATCATGGAGTCAGTCAGACAGGCTCCCTTTCAGCTTCACCACTTGCAAACTGAGTGGCCTTGGACAAACTCCCGACCCTCTGAGCCTCCTTACTGTAAAATGAGGGTAAGAATGTCCTACAGGATCACTGTGAGAATTAAATAGGGATAATGCATGGGAAATACTTAGTACAGTGCCTACACACAGTAGGTGCTCAAAAAATATTTGGTATTTTTAACATTTCCCATCAAAATCCTATACAATCACAAAAACAAATCTCACTGTCTCCTCTGCAAGCAGGGGAAATGAAGACCCAACAACCTACCCAGGATCCTATAATGCATTAGTAATAGAATCAGACTAGCAAACACGGTTCCCAGGCCTGGGCTTTTTCTCACTAGGACTGGTCTGTCGTCTCTCCTTGGATAGGACACTACCTGCAGGCAGGCACTTGGTGACAGTTTTGGACCATAAGGGCTGAGAGGTCAGCAGCCTGGAAGCCTTGTCAGGATGTCCTGATTTGTAAAGATCTTCCTGGTAGCTGTTTCTCTCCAGGCTGAGGCCTAACACTGCACAACGTCTACCACTCACAAATTCTGCCTGAGACAGAGCTGCTGTTCTAAGTGGAAGAGCCCACTCCCAGCTCTTCCACTGCCCAGCTGGGCAACCTTGGGCAACTGACTTCACCCCTTTGAGCCCCAGCTTTCTCACCTGTGAGGTGGGGGTGATAAGTCACGCCTGACCCATAGGGTTGCTGTGAAGCATGGGGGGGCATTCCCAGTGCCTGGTACTGTGCCTCCGGGCATGTCGGACCTTAGCTAACGCTATCACTATAGAGCAGCGATTTCAACCTTTTTCATCTCATGGCACATAAACTAATTACCAAAATTCTGCAGCACCCCCAAAAATATATTAATTTTTTGCTGATCTGACCACTCACACCAGATGCTATTGCTGTGTTGGCTGTTGTCATTTCTTTGACATTCTAAGAGAAAAGAGGTCAGTGCCCCTGATTCAATAGTCAGCTATTACATGTCTTAAAAATTCTTGCGGTACTGCCCTGGCCGGTGTGGCTCAGTTGGTTGGGCATCGTCTCCTGCCCCAAGGGGTCACCCACTCCATCCCTGGTCAGGACACATTTGGGAGGCAACCGATCGATGTTTCTCTCTCTCTCCCTTTCCCTTCCTCTCTCTGTAAAATCAATACAAACATTTTTTTAAAAAAATTCTTGTGACACACTCGTGCGCTGCAGCAAATGGGTTGAAAATCGCTGCTACAGAGAAACTGGCCATGTTCTCCCTGGCGCTTTCTCTGCTTATCAGGACCACTTCGCTGGCCCCAGTGCCTCCCTCTGTCCCTCTCACATCTCATCTTTCCTCTGGCTCCTATCACATCAGGAGGGCAGCCTGGGCCCCTTGCCATTCGCTGAGTGACACGGAGGACCAGGGTTGGGGGCTCCAGGGAGCCTCTGCCCCTGAGGGAGAGGGGCCGGGCGCTCGGGGCTGGCTGGGGTGGCTGGTCCCGAGCTGACCTTGAGCACTCCTGCTTGTAGATGTCAATGATGTTCTCCACCAGCAGGTTCCTCTGCAGGCCGTACACTCCGTGACGATCCATGATCACCTCGTGGCGGCAGGACGGGCAGCGGAAACGGCCTCCAGACATGGACATCGAGCCGCCCCGGTTGGTCCAGTAGGGGTTTGCGGCCTGTGGGTGGCAAGGCAGAGGTGAGGCCTGGGCCCCCTCCTCAGCCCTCGCCCTTTCTAGTCTCCCATCATCCTCCCCCTGCTCACCCCAACCATCCTTGTCAAACCACAGGACCTGGAGCCCCCCGGCCTGAGACGGGAGGCAGCGCACTTACACGGGGAGCCTCTGAGAAGCACTAAGCAATCAACAGGTTTGGGAGCCAGCAGACCCGGATGCATGTCACAGTTTTTCTCTGAATGACTCTGGGCAAGCCACTTTAGCCCTCCAAGCCTCAGTTTTCCCATTCATCAAATGGGCATTATAATTAGAGCCAGAGGTTACGGCCACAACTTTAAAGATAAAATAGCAAGAGGACGTTTTGTGAAGTGCTTCTGGGGAACCTGAGTCCTGCCTCCCAGCCAGGACATCCACTCTCATTCCTTTCTTAGGGAGATGAAGCCCCTCCTGCCCTATATTAGAGGAAACGGCCTCCAAAGGGCAGATGCCTCTGCTGCTCAGTGCCT